TCAGTATATAAAGGTTCAGTATAAAATGAGTTGACTGTAGTGTTCCGAACCGGATGTAAAATCATCACCCGAATCACCCGTATAATCTGAAATCGGGTGAACCGGTTTGAATAATCGTGACGGCGAGAATTATGGGTAACTAGTTTTTTCAAATTTTCGAGGGTGAATATTACTGAAAAATAAAAAACTGATTCAGTTCGAATCTGAGATCCGGACAATAAGCATACGATAGTATAAATACAAACCTGTGAATAGTGATGTGACCTGGATGAATTTTATGACTCGACACCATAAACTTAGGGATGATGGTGCAGTTAGTGTATTTTCTCATCGCTGTACTCGTTGCGAGTTTTATATAATTATCGTCGAACAATAGTGTCGAATAAGGTGGAATACGAAAGTTTTCTAACCTACGCGTGCAATTCACTAGAGTATCGTTTAGGTACTCCACCTAATAAGCACCACAAGGAAACGTACATAACGTTACAAGTACTCAGTGTATGTACTGCGTATAAAGATAGTATTTTCCTAACCAGACATGTGCACTTATATATTAGATTATCGCCTGATTATTCGGTTACACCAATTATACTACATACCATCAGTGTGCGAAATTTAATGTTCTCAATGTTCTCCGAGAACATAAAAATTTTTGTGAGAACATAAAAAATCTCAAAATCTATTATATAGTTGTTCTTGTGAGAACATGAAATGAAATTTGAATTTCACACACTGCACACCATATAGCGCTGCGCATAGCACCCGGAGTGATCCGATTTTTTAGATACGTACGTACGTACGTAGTGAAAAATTAAAAATCACACGTATTTTATATCACAGTCGTATAAATAATATTTTAAAAAATTGATCTAAAATTGATCTAAATTATTTGCCACGCGTGGTATTATAAGCACTACACGGTACGTACGTATTATCGAACGTGTCGCATTCGGCATTTTTGGAATTGGGCAAAAATTAAAAACCCCGAATTACTATTTAATTACTGAATTATTTCATGATATACAGTAACGTCAACCATATGACGTATTTATTAAACTGAACCCCCAAAACAATAAAACCATCTTCCCAACTTAAAACCCATCTCTTTTTACTGTTAAAAATTCATCTCTTATAAATATACTTATAGTCAAATGATTTGACACGTTAAATATCTATCATAACTACGTCATAAATTTAGGGTAGTGTAAAAAGTCGCCCTAATGGAACACAGTGTATTACATATTAGCCAAGCAAAGAAAATAATAATGAAGGTTTATACAAAGGAAAATTTTTGACAAATTTTCGCAACAATAGTCTGTATAGTAACATCCAAAAGTTTGTACTTTTTTTTAAAATCCAGATTAGCGGGATTGAACATTTAGATAAAATTAGTAAGAAAAAAGGGTGTTTATTCACAATACAATAATAATGAGTTAAATTTTGTTATGTTTTCTGTGTAATAATAATAGATTTTTAGAGGTTACATATTCAACCGTTTTGTAAACCTTTGACCCGGTTGAACCGTTTTGACCGGTTTACTATAACCCGGTTCTAAGCTCTAGTCGACTGCATCTTCCATTTCTTCACAGCGTACCCTGCTCATCAAATCCTTGATTCTAGAAAGATTAAAATCAGCACTATCACTCTCCATTGCTTGTAATATCGCTTCAACACAATCATCAACCTTGTCTAGCTCGATTTTTACAGCATGAGGCAATGATGTTCTTGCATTGCAACTCAGCATTCGATGATTTTCCTCTCAATTCACTGATTTCTTGCCGAAGCAAATCCTCATCTTTTGAATATGCATTTATCTGTGCTTGAAGATTTCTGATTTCATTTTCCGTTTTCACATCCATTATAGGTTTTATGGGAGTAAACGAGACCGGAGAAATTGGGAACAATGGCTTGGTTGTTTGTGACGACTGCGTAGTATTCGGAGGGGGAGTAATCGTTATTGTTGGTGGTTTACTTGCTGGAATGCTGTATGACGTCATTGGTGAAACTGTTCTCGTGGTTGATGTAAATGGATTAACCATGGACGGAGGGAATGCAGTCGGGACCACTCTCGTTGATGATGGAAAAGATATTGGATGCGCTGCGGAAGAGGATGGTACAGCATCACTTGTAAAAGGCGTATTTGACTGTGATGATATCGCATGTGTGGTTGGTGACTCATTGATATCCTGTGATGTTGATATTGAATCCTTGATTGAAATAATTGACGGCGGTAATGTTCCTGTGTTTATAGAGGTCGTTGGATTGGCTGTAAGCTGAGCTTGTTGTATCCGAACAGGTGTCACACCAATAGTTGACGTAATTGGCATCGTAGATGGTGATGATGGCACATTCTGTGACAAAGGTACTTCAATTTCTGGTACAGAAACGTCCGTCTTTGTTATTGGAATGGTAGTAGAAATAACTGAAAGAACATCTAACCCAGTAGTAGTTCCATTTGAATGCTCAATTTTTTGACGCTTACGCGGGACAGCATATTCGTCTTGATCTTCAGCATTCAATACCTTTTCAAGAAACTTAATGTACTCTTCTGTTTCATCGAATTCCTTGTCTTGCTGACGAAAATAATGTAATATTCGTCTAGCTTCGATGAGTTGTCTTGAAGTTACATTACATTGACGTTGCAAGTCAACCAGTTGTTCATCTTTTAATCTAAGCTGTTCAATCCATTCCGTTTCAGCTTCTTCAACTAATTTTTGAAGGCCTAAATGGACATGCATCAAATGATGAAATATATATTGTGTAAACTCATTGTTTTGTATTATCTTTATTAATCAATAAAATAATAATAATAATAATAATAATAATAAATTAATTAATTACCTGACACTATTTCTTTTGATTTTCTACGAGGATTAACAAAAGTTGGAGTAAAAAAGTCGATTTGCTCTAATCTTGCATCCTGCCCGAGAACGAAGCGATACATTTATTATTCTTTCTTTATATAATAATGGAGAATAAATAATTTATAAACTTACATTTATATCGTCAATATCAATACGTTCAGCTGGATCAAAGTCTATTGCCTTCAAACCTATTTTGTTTTCAATTTGCTTGCTAGCACCCATTTCTATTAGCTGACGAACTAATTGAGTATTTCCTACTCTCGCAGCAATATTTAAAGCCGTGTCACCATTTTTATCTTGAATATTTAAAATGGTGGAAAGGTTTCCATCAACATTTTGAGCAATCCATTGCTGCATACAATCCATATAATATTTCGCAGCAGCAGCATGGCCTTTAGTGCCAGAAGTCATTGAAATATGATGGAAAACAGTTCGATTATCTTTATCGGTCAATGGGATAGTTTCATGAAGAAGATCAAGAACAGCTGGGAAATTTTGTGCTTCATAATTATTGGTAACAAGAACGGCGCGTACTAAAGCAGATTCACCTTCATAATTCAGTTGACGTACATTAGCACCTCTTGTTAACAATAATTCCATAACTTGTAATCGAGCTAGAGCAGCCGCCCAATGAAGAGCCGTATGACCGTGACTGTCAATTATAACGTCATAATCAATATCATCCGGAGAAGACGGGTTTGAAAGAAGGTCAGGGATTTGATTCGGGTCTTCATTAAGGAATATTGCCATTAAGACATTTCTGTGACGTTCTTCTTCGTCCATTTCTGCAACCGTTAGAGGTGGCTCAGAAGCCTCAAAATTTGTTACCGTAGCAGCTTCATTCTCGTTTTCATTGTTAGATAGTAAGGAAGAGTCCCCGTTGGTTTGAGCATCGGATTGAGCGTTCGATTGAATAGCGGGGGTAGTGGCCTTTGCAGCTTGTCTACGTAAAGCAGCCATCGCCTGTTCTTTAGTTGGAGTATATGGAGATGATGAATAAGGTATATCATGTTTAGGTGGTTTATATTCTAACAAAGGACGCAAAATCTCAAGAACCCCATATTGTTCAGCAAGTTCCTTTCCTCTTTCATATGGAACCCTAAGATGTTATAATATAATTAACGATGAGCTGAATAGTTCGAGATAAAAGTTAATAGTAATGTTCAAATTATACAAACAATATTTTAATAGATTATTCGTGTCAGTTAATTGTCACACGCATGAATCGATATTAACATTAAAATTTACACGAATAATTATTAAAATAATGTTGAATCGCTTGTCAACTTGTAATGCAAGCCAAGTTTCAATAAAAAAAAACCTTACAATAAAGCATTTGCTAATATATATGTTGCTTACCAAGTTCCCTGATATTTGCCATAACCACCTTGAACTTTTTCGTGATCACCAGTTAAAACTTCTTTTTCGATAATTTTTGTACGTTTACCTTTTTCAAGACCTGCAACCTTCAAAATTTGCGTGGCGTTCAAGTAAGAATCCGGACGCCGGCGCATCACAGCGACGTCTCGTACAAGAAACTCATAAACCGGTACTCCGGAATAAACCGCGGAATATATTGGACCTATGCTTGGCCTTGGAAGAGATGTGGTAGATTCTGGTGTAGCAGGTGTTGGTGTAGAGGGTGTACCTAATAATGACGGGGATGCAATAGGAACAGTTGAAGGAGGAGGAGTCTTCGCGTTACTTAAATTTTCGTTTGTAGTATTTGTTTCGTTTTGAGGACCGGGAGGTGTACTTGGCGTTGAAGTATCCATTTCTAACCATTCAAAGGTTAGACACGTTATTTAAATATGGATCGTAAATTAGAAAACTAAGTTGATAAGTTGCACTACTAACGTTAAAAGAACGCTCTAAATTAATTAGCCGAGTTTTTTAACGCTGACTAACAGGCGGAACAAAATCTATTCAACATATGATGTGACACAAAAGAAACACGAAAATGACTCGAAAATGTCACGAGTCACGCAATTTGAACTACCTAATATAAGCATCAAGTAAGATTTTACATATTTTACATGTATGCATGTTTATGAACCAATCAACGAATTGGTAAGATTTTTTTTATTTATGAATCTAGAAATAATAATAAATTTATAAGTTTATATGAAATTTCGCTCAGTCGTCAAGGGGTCTTTCTAAAAGATAATCAACCTCAACTTCCTTTGTTAAAGGAATTACAAATTTTTCATACATTTGAACCACTAAATCCACATCGATTTTTAAATGTTTTGAAGTATGTTCCGGATCTAATTTAAAATCATCAGTTATATCTTGACCATAAATGAGAGCTTTACGTTTAAGACGTTTTAGCAACTTTGCTTCTACATCTTTGTTTGTTAATAACTCTTCAATGGCTTTGCGATCGCGAGATTTTATATATTCTTTATAAGTTGATTTATTGTTAGGATCCCGGAATTTTGCTTCGGCAACAAACTTCCCTTTTTTTTTTTTTTCAAGAAATGAGATTTTTGTTTAAAAGAAATATAATAAACAATTGAAATATAACATTACCATAGTGAATTCTCTGAGATATTGCTTGAAGACACGTAACATCTCGCGTTGCAACCGAACCATAATTTTTATCATCACCCATGGCACACAACGAGGGGACAATTTGATTAACATAAAAATCCATTATTTTCGGGTTGACATTAATGTTATTGGGCTTAAGAATTGGCGGGTATTCAAGACGGGGAATGATTGGTTTGGGAAGATTTTTCAGTTCAGTAAAGGGATATTCATCAGGGCTATAAATTTATATCAATTAATTTATTAGTGGAATAAAAATAATAGTGCCGAATGTTTGTATATTCACCTTTGATATCTTCTCACTTTTGCTATTGAAAATAATGTAAGTCACTTAATAACAATTATCGTTTGTTTTTTTCTACTTACCATGTACCATTTCCGATTCTCGTAGAAAGTATTCTAAGAAACTTCCCTTAAAATCTTTGCAGTCATTATACTCATAATACCCGGGCTCGTAAACAGGTTTATTATGACTGAATTGCGCTCTTTCTATGAGAGCTATTTGTTTCGTAAGGAAAAAATTAATTGCATTTAAAAAAAAAAAAAAAAAAAAAAAAAAAAAAAAAAAAAACAGCGAAGACTTTATTTTATTGAAAAGCGAGCCGAAAATTAGAGTATGTTATAATCTAATTAGCGTATTACGCAATCTTTCTAAGCAAAGGGCGTCATCCGCTTCCGATAAGAAGTCCATTTTATTAGCCTTTAAAACAAACGCAAACTCTTCCACTTTCGTGCAACGCGAGTTGGCATTATTTAAATTGAACTTTTTGGATAAAATTGACATCCTTGATAAAAAAGGAAATGAAGGTGTGACGGATTTGAGTGCGTTTTAGTGTAGTATAGTACCTACTTTTCTTGTTCTTGATCTTTGATCTTGTATCGTGCTGTGTCGTGCTGTGCTCTTGATTTTGATCCACCGCTCCGTTTCGCTTTGCTCTGAACATATATCGTATTTATAACAAAAAAAAAAAAATTTATTTATTATAGAGATGCAAGTTCTCTGCAAATACAGTAAAACCTCCGTAAGTTCTCTGCAAATACAGTAAAACCTCCGTAAGCGCACCCTGCTTGGGACCAAAGTGAAAAAAGGCAATAACGTGCACTTAAAGAAAGTGTGCATCTATAGAGAGCAAAATATATAGTGTTCTTATGAGTTGGAGCCAAACTACGTCGTGCATTTAGATAGAATTTACATAGAGCGTGCACTTAGGGAGGTTTTGTATTTTGCATTCTCTTATATCTAATTACGAATTAGGGAACTGTACATGCAATAATTTTTAATAATTTTAGAAAACAAAGTATTATTAACGCAAATTGTGAACTTTAAGAAAAAAACAAGCGTGAAAATATTATCTCCTATCTTTAATAATAAATATATAATAAACCATATTTACGAATTCTTTCACCTAATCTTAATATTCTATTTTATAAATCCCCGAAATTTTATAATACTGCTCGCTCAGTCCTAACGGCAAAATTTTAGGTCAAAAATATTTTAATTATCACATTACCCTAACGGTGCCCAAAAATTAATTGTCACTTTGTGTGATGCATATTCAACCATAATCAGTGCTTAAAAATATGATTGATATTTATTATGGTACGGGAGGTATTGTGGTATACTTACATTTTTCGGCGATATACCGATCAGAATTAAACAGTTTTAGTACCATTCGATTCGATTTACTGAGACGAATCGAATGATACAAAAATTAACAGTTAATCAATTCTGACCATGACTCGAGAAAAAGTTAGATACGAACATTAATACCCGAACTTCCTTTATATTGTCAAATATTTCCTAACTCTACGTACCGTAGTGCACTGACCAAAAGTACCCGGTGCGACACGATTTTTTACATAGTGAAAAATTAAAAACACATTACACAATTGTTTACATCACATGTCGCATATAAAAAATTGATCTGCATTATTTGTCACACTGGACCATCACGGAATGATTTGAAGACTTTTAAAGTCGTATAGTTAATTGCACCCCTCGGGATCATAGTACAAATTTTAAAAATGTTTATTTAGAGAGGGTGTGCATTTATAGAGCACTTTTACTATGTTTCTATATACTTGAGACCAATCCGGAGCGTTCATTGTAGAGGTCTAACTGTAGTTGGTAAAATTAGTATTGAATTCATGAAATTGGTCTAAATCTCTAATCTATCTTTTTTTTTTTACCATGATTTAATTAGGGGTGACAATATACCTCACTGGTAATGAATAATATTTTCAAAAGAAATTGATACAGTCAAAATTTTTAATTAATATAAATTATCAAATCGTTGAAATTGACTTTGGTTTTTATATATAGATAGCGTGTCACGTGTAACACCCATTTTACGACACCATTTTTATTCATAAAATTACAGAATTAAAGACTCACTATTCATAGAAAAGCTTACAAAACTAAAATAAATGTCGCTGGGGTTCCTATTCAACCTCCTAAAACCCACTTATACTTGTTTATTATAAATTCTACCCCTAAAACTGACCCCAACACTAGAAAAAAAGCTAAAAAAAATGCACCCTCAAAATTTGTATGTTTGGTAGCTTGTCTATTTCATGTTATACACAATTTCATTTTAATCCTGTTTTCATTTGAATTCGTCACAATAAATATTGTACGTGCTTAGCTCTGTCTCTTATTAATTTCAATATTTAGTGTAATATGTTTATTTTAAACATCGTGTATCATTAGGTTTCGTCAATCGACTTCTTGACGAATAACTGTATTTTCGCCGAAAAAATCTATGTCCTTGATCAATTCTTGTACGGTGCGCTGAATCCACTGCACGTGATACATCTTCGAGAAAAACATAATCTATAAATAAAAAATAAATTCACATATGAACCAGATTCATTTTCACCTCATAAAAAGCCGCTTCTAAACTCTAGATATAATACAAATACGTACCACTCATCAATTCTTTATATCCATATTCAGGCATTGGTATATAAGTGGTTTTAGACCTTATGCCATTACAATTATATGTTTCTTTATGTAATTTTGAACATAGTAAAGAGCATGAATGAAATTCACATTTTGGACACTTATATTTCCACTTGTTGATATGGCATGCTTGACAAATAGTTTGGTCTGTTTGCAAAATTGAGATCACTAAGCCAAACTTTATGATTCAAAGCTTGCAGGCTATTCGGTAAAATATATATATATATATATATAAAATAAACCACTAATACCTATTTCTGGAAATGAAGTCTTATTTTGTGAAGTTGAAGGTTGACTTGAATGATCTAGTGTCATTCAACGCACAAATACAGTGCCATTTTAAAAACTCTCCCGTTATTTAAAAAAATCTAAATTAAAATAGATCCTACCTGAACTATCATGAACTGCCTCATTTTCTTGAATTTTTTCATCTAGGTCCAGGATTAAAGAAAGAGGATCAAAAAACTTAGAGTAATCTGCCATCGTGGCTGTGTATAACCTGCTGTGGGGACATTTGTATGATCATTATGATCATCAATAAATTTCTCGTGATCGTATTTCGAAATGCTTACCGTTACAGAAAAAAAAAACCGGATGATAACTAGTGCTCCTTAAAACCCTGGGTTAGACCCGAGTTTGCAAATTTGCGATTTTTAAAGATAACAGTTGAAATAAATCGATCATAGAATTTAATGTTTGAAATCTTTCTAAGCTATATAGGGAATAGGAATTATAGGAATTGATAGATTAATATTCTTAAGGCTTTCGCTCCAGCAGTCTAATCTATTTACTGTACAATTTCTTCTCAATACGCTACAAGAATAAAACCATTGCTACGTATACTTTTTTTTCAAGACAAACATATGATAAATTAAAATTTTATTAAGATAACCTATATTAATTTCTAATCAAATGGGATCGGGTTTTCGAACGGGTTGTTTAAATTTATTAGTCAGTTGTTTAAAATAATTTTATCTATTTAAGTGTACTGGTAACCGGTTGCAGTTCCTAAAAAGTCCGGTCATGAACTAGTTAGAAACTGGTCCACAATCCCGCTGATTTAGTATACGAATATAATTTGGATATTTTCATTATTATATAACCCGTGTCAAAGGCACGTACGTACGTACGTAAACAGATTTTTTAATTTTATATAGCTAATCAATCAAATTATTAAAATTTTACGTATAAGGTAGCGGTACGTAGAATTATTTTAACTTTTTTTTTATTATTTAAATACTATATATATAGTTATTGCATGAGAAGTATGCAATAACTGCTGTATTTTATGGGTGATGATGATTGGTTGGTAACCCAGTGGGTTACCGAACGATCAGAAGAGAACATAAAATACAGCAGTTAATGCATACGGGAACATGCAATAACGGTTTTATTCAATGCCTTGCTATCTCAGTTTATGAAATAAGATCAATAATTTTATCATATAAAAATACCAAAATAATTGATTTATTTTATAAACTGATCATAGTAAAGCATTGAATAAAAATATATATTATTTTTTTTTTTTTAATTCGACTGCCTGCCATTGTTTATTTGAGATCACAACTATTTGACAAATTACAAGAATTTTTCTCCTAGCTATACTAATCCACCAAACATATAGCTCACCAAGCTTTCACCCAATATAGCCTATCTTAGTAGTCCTTAGCCTCAATCTGGATCCTTAACTTACTAAAGACTTTTTTCTTTTCAATCCTTGGCTGGTGATTACAAGCCATTTACATTGATATTGGTTTTTCTTTTTAGTAGAGAAATGCAAACACAAATTCAAGGAGCATAAAAAAAGAGGAAATATACTCAATAACAAAATTTGATCTACCTAAAATAAATAAAACTAAACAAGTCAAAGAAACAAAAACAAAAAATAAAGAAAACAAAACAAAAATGGTACTATTAAGCCTGTGCCAAACTGTAAAAATTATATAGTATTACTAAGACTAGTTTAAACTCTATACTAGTTACTTATGTCTATATCTAGAATATAAAAACTTTATCAAAACTATCCATTTTTGAGTAGAGGTCCAAGTTCAAAATTTCAATTATATCTTCAACAAAACTTCTACAATATATTCACTGTCTTTTTATAATCCTAGGCAAAGTTAACAACTTATTGTTCATCTTCTATTAGATAAATCGAGTGGTCTCAGCATAATATTATAACTTCTTGAAGAATGATCAATCATATATTATTTATTCTAAAATAAACACATATATGTATACATGTTTTTTCTTTTTAGCAGTGATTGTTATTATTAATTTTTTGATGAGAGTATACTATATTTTCTACTTTTTGGTAAAATTTTGAGAAATACAAAGAGTAGGGTATTGAAAAGGGGTTTTGGTTAGTAGGTAGTCTTAAACTTCGATAGGGAGTGTATTGAAAACTTGCTTGTTGTCTTCTTAGATCAACTATATTTTTACTTTGTTAGCAGAAGCTATGTTTCTAGTCAAAAGTTTGGTATAAGTAATCATTGAGAAGAGTTGTAAATATTGATTAAAAATATATATTATTTTATTTTTAAATATATAGAAAATACTGTATTTTTGCAAAATAATAGGTATAGACATTATTTTAAAAATTGTAACCCTTAAAAATAATATATATAGCTTCAAAATAACATCTATGGAACCAAAACACAACTCTCCCTAATGATCACTTGTACCAACTAGTCTCTGAAAGCAAGTTGAAGACTTAAGACCAGAAGTGAACGAATAACTTGAAGCCTTCTTACTGCGAACTGTTGTCGACGAAGTCTTAAACATGATACACTAAGGAGTGGATGTTTTGGACGGTTTGCAAAGGGGTCAAGCTCTTTCTGCTAATTCTCTTGGGTGGACTTCTCTTTACGTTTGGTATTCAAACTAAAGAAGTCTCTGGAAACAGTAAGTAGAAAGAAAGCTCAAGTTATTTTGGGAACAGAAGGCTATAAAGAACTCTTGAAACAATACTCTTTGGTTGGAAAACTCGCAAAACTATACTTTTCGTCTACCATTTTTTTTTTTCATAATTTTCGACAAAAAGTGTGAGATTTGGCTATCCCTCTCCAAAAAATCAGCATTGTTTATATTTTTATTTTCAAAAGGTCTTGAGTTACGATATGACGAATAAAGAACACAACAATCACGTGTGAGGAGGAAGTTCTATTTGGGTTAAATCGAAGTAAGTGGCAGTTCTGTGTTAGATTGGCTATAACTGTATAGGAATGAAGGCCCTATGCGACGAACCCGAGGGAGTAGCTTCCAATGATACCGGTAGACTATAGGGAAGACCCCCTGTTTAATCTCATATAACGAAGAAGCAAGACGTTGAAGACTGTTAGAGGATTTCATAATCCGGAAAGAGTAGCTCGGTATAAATAGAACTGATGATCACGTGTTGAGGCTTTAAAATCGGCATTCTAGGATTCAAGGTGGATTCCATGAGAGTTGTAAACTGGAGCGATATTTTAGAGATATGCAATATTCTGAAATCATATGCATATAATTTTTAGCCCTTGGCACAGGTTAAAGTGCATTGTAGTTCTTAGTTTTCTTTTTGTCAGATAGTTTTATGTATAGATTTCTACGACTATGTAGATAGTTTTTCACTTGATTAACAGGTTTTTATATTTGTAGACAAGTTCTCTTAGATTTTAGGATAGTTTTTTAGATTCCTTTATGTTTTGGTCATCTTCTTATTTGTTTTCTTTTTTTTACTTTCCCTATTTTTGTTTTGCCCTTACACTTTTTTTTTCTTTTTTACTTTTCTACGAAAAAGTGTCATCAGATTGGCGGCACTCTATTGTAGAGTGGTGATTCTGACAAGATCGGTGCTTCTATCTGTTGATGTCTGGGGCTCACATTCTTAGTAAGTTGAGGATTCTGGAAGAAGGAAAATTGGCACTTAGACGGGTCACTCCTGGGTTATACTCTAGCGTAAAAACTTTGGGCTTCGGCTATGGTTTTTACTACGATAATGAGACAGATCGAGAGAATCTTTATTTGTACAGGAATATAGTAGTTTAGCAATTTGCATGTAAGCCTAGCTAGCTGAGAGCATTTTTATAATCTACTTCTGATAAATAAAATAAAGGTAGGATCGCTAAAGTAAAAAAAAACAAAATAATATCTATATGTATTCTGAAATAATGCATATCTATAATAAGAGGTATTTATTTATAGTAATATTAAAAAATATTTCGAAACTAGGTATATTACTAAGTAAACTTTGTTTCAAAGCATTTTTGTTATATATATCAGATACTTAAAAATTTTATATTTGTCTCAAAATAATACCTATATGCGTATTTAAAATAATGCATATATACTTAAAATAATACGCAGATGGTATTATTTCATGAAAATACGATAATTATATTTAATTAATAAAAAAAAATCTTTTTTAAAAATTATAACAAATTAATATAGTATGAATAAACAAATTATAGTAGTATAATAAAAATTAATTTTAAAAATTATATTAATTATAATTTATTAATTATAATTTTTAATTTAAATACTTTTTTTTATTTTAGCAGTCTTGTTAATATTCTTTATTATTATAAATTGCTAGATAAAGATCTAGGTCTTTTACATTCTACTAAAAAATTAATTAGTAAAAAAAATAAAATAATTAGTAAAAAATAAAGTCACAAGTCTCACTAACAATTACTTATATCAACTTTTTACTAAAAGCAAGTAGAAGACTCAAGATCAGAAGTTAACAACAACTTGAAGTTTACTTAATACAAGTTGTTATTAATGAAGTCTCTAAACATAATATACCAAGGAGCAGACGTTTTGGATAGTTTGCAAAGGGTCAAGCCTTTCTTTCTCTTGAGTGGACTCTTTTTTGTGTTTAGTATCCAAATCAGAGAAGTCTCTGGAAACAGTAAGTAGAAGGTAAACTCAAGTTTGTTTGAAGACAAAAGATTATGAAGAACTCTTAGAAAAATACTTTCTGGTTAGAAACTTGCAAAACTATAACTACTCTTTTGCTGTTTTCTTTTTTCATAATTTTTAACAAAAAGTAGGAATTTGGTTTATCCTCTCCAAAAGATCAGTATTGTTTATCACTTCTATTTTTAAAAAGTCACAAGTTTTGATATGATGATTGAAGAACAAAACAAATCACATCTAAAGGGGAAGTTTTAATAGATCTCTGGATTAAAGAGAAATAAATAGCATGTACCTTGTTTGGATCAAGTGTGGCTATCAAGTAGCCACCTATTTGAAATGTACTGAGAAAGTAGCTTTTGAAGATAGTGATTGAAAGAACCAACTCTGTTAACCTGGAATATAGAGAAGTATATTCAAAGTGAAGAACTATAAGTGGCAGAACTGTTCGTAGTTAGGGTTAGCTTAAAGTAAAGAAGGCTTTAGAATCAATAATCACGTAATTGAAGCTTTAAAATCGGATATTCTAAAATTCGAATTGGATTTAATAAAGAGTTGTAAACTAAAGCGATAATGTAGAGATATGT